AGAAAGGATTAATGTCATCTACACCTCTTCATCACCGATTACAGATTGAATTCCACTACACTCAGTTCTTTCAGCCACCCAATGAGGAGGTTTCCCCGGCAGGAGTGACAATGGCCCCGCCACAATTTGTCGAGGTTCCTTTAACGGATGTTTTTGCATAGAGAGTTTTACTGTAAATTGTAGAGAGTGTGATTACTTTAACTAGTTTTTTTTTTTTTATTTTAGCTTTTGGGTATGTTTGTAATCGAACTGGGGTAAAGGGGAACCTGTTTGAGATTGGGAAAGCATGTTTTTTTTGATTTGGGTTGGAAAAGGAAACAATTTTTTTTTCAAAGTGGAAATGGTTTTTTTTTTTTTTTTTTTTTTTTTTTTTTTTTTTTTCTATATAAACTTTCGGTCATATGTTCCTAATTTCTATAGAGCTGTAATTTCTTTCTTCAAGTATCAAAGGCGTCTGATTCCCAATTTTTACACGCTCTTATTAATCCAACTTCCATTTCACAGACACTAAAAAACTTAGTGTAGGGGAAACTGAGGTTACGCCATTCTAATTCTAACGAGTCTTCTCTAATTAAACTCTCAAATTGTGATTTTAATAGGCATGAGGTCACAGTTATTCTGAAATCAATTGGCAATGACAGTCCCAAGGAAATCGCAGAATGATGTCAAGAAAGGATTAATGTCATCGACACCTCTTCATCACCAATTACAAATTGAATTCCACTTCCCTCAGTTCTTCCATGCACCCAATGAGGAGGTTTCCGCGGCAGGAGTGACAACAGCCACGCCACAAGCAGTCAAGGGGAAATTAATGGAGGTTTCTGCTTGGAGAGTTTACTGTAAACTGTACTCTTAACTAGTTTTTCTTCTTTCATTTTAGCTTTCAGGTATGTTTGTAATCGAATCAGGGGTAAAGGGAAATTAAAATTTCGTCTGAGCTTGGGATAAAGGTGAAAAAGTTTTTACCCACAAGGATTATTCAAGCGACAAGCATTATTTCACTTGGCAACGAAAGGTGCTTCTCATCTTCACAATGTCGGACTCTTGAAGCAGTAACTTGAAAGTAAAATTTTGTTTTACAGGAAGAAATTTTAGTTTCCCAAAAGATTCTCCTTTTTTGTCGAGTTGAAAAGAATGAGCTTTACAGAGAGTTGCAGAGAATGATAGGTTTGAATGGAGATAATCATTGAGAAATTGGCTTTCCTGTTTTGCTGCAAAGCTGTGAAGAGAACTTTCCAAGGCCTAAAAACTTTGTGAATCGTGACCTACGTTAGGCCACCTTTGGTTGGTAAATATATAAAAAAATTCTATATTTGTGATTTATAATTAGTATTAAACTCTAATGGGGACAAAGGAATAAAAGTAAAAATCTCAAAAGGGTCAAATGGGTAGATTGGTATTGGATTAGGGTTTCCTACACAATATTACTTTTGATCCAAACACTGCCTTAGCTCAGGAATCAAGGTATATACCAAAAACCATGGTGTAATCCAAGACCAATCCTTAATGAGGCAGCAGCTTTTGTCAAATGAAGAGGAAAAAATAGAATTATTTGGGAGCTACCTTTTTCTCCTAACAAATATTCTACTCATTTGTCAACTTCAATTACATTTTTTTCTTTTCTTTTTTTTTTTTAAAAAGAAAAAGTTAGGTCCACTTATTTTTAAAATAATTTTAATTATTTTAATTTTAAAAAAATAGTCATACGTTATGATTCGTTTGGACGAAACCTAAATTAATTATCGTAGTATCACTTAAACATTAATAGTTACGTATTACCTTAGTATAATGTTAATGCGTTTAATTTTTTTTTAACTCTTTATGATACCTAAATATTTAATAATATTATATTATTATATATAAATATAGAATTTATAGGTTGCTCGGGTAATTATATACAATAATATAATATGATTAAAAATTTTAATAAATTTGTAAAAATTAAATTCATTAGTTGGAAATATTGCTTGATTTAAGAGAGAAGATGGAGATTGAGGAAGATATATGGAGACCGTATTTATCTTCCAATGGGCTTCGTCTAATAAATATTGAGCCCATATTTTTCATGGGCCAAAAATTGTAATGGACTACTAACAAATTTTTAATTTTATTCATATTAATTGATAAATATTTTATATTGTTTATTTATAATGTTAGTTGATATTTATTGTAATACCTTTAATTAATTTTAAAATATTTAAAATTAGTATATAAATATAATTTTTAAATTTTTTATTTAATGTATAAAATTTAATTTTTAATTTTATAAATTATTAATTAATATAAAAATGAACAAAATTAAATAGATGATGAAATTGAAAATAATTTTAGAAAAATGAGTAAAAATTTGGGTTCTGATGGTATTTTTGAAAGAATTTCAAAATTGGGGGTCGAAACTTAATTTAAAAAAATTATGCCATGTAAGACGCCCAATCAGTAGACCCGACGTAGCAGAGCGCGTCACGTGGCAAGCGACGCTACACGGTGCCATGCGGGAGGCCACACTGACGATCGCCTGCCCGCAATCGGACGGTCCAGATTCGTTCCCGCACGCACCGACGGTTTGGATCTGTTCACTCCTCAGATGCGATCGGACGATCAGATTTAAATACGATGAACGGTTCAGATCTACTTCCTATTTAAACGCGATCGAACAATTCAGATTAATCGCGATGAACGGTCCATATTCACTTCCTATTTAAATGCGGTC